CATCCTATGTCACAGTGGGTTTCTGTTACAGTGAGCTACCACTTCAATTTGATAATCTCATTAGATATTGCAGCACCTATAATCCCTTCAGTCCTAAAAACCCTTTCTCTCCTTCTGAATTAAATTTCAAATAGAACAACCTAACTGTGGATTACAAAGTTATATGTGTTTTCTTTCTTAATCAATAAATTTGTTGTGGTGATTWTTGTGAACAAAGACAAATTTCATTAGGGACCAAGAATTCTTTTAAAATAAATTATAGTGTTTATGGCACAAGTGTACCAACAAATAATGATTTTATTTATTGGAATTATTCAAATGGCTCCTAATGAATTTTTTGGCCTCATGAAGTGATCRGCTTGGAATGACTTTCCCTTCTATGAAAATATTTAAATACAAACAAAGTCTGCCAATATGTTCAATTACAGTCATGCAGGGAACTAAAGGGATTATGTGTACTAGGAGTATATTCATGTGGCTTTTCAGATCAACTGCTTCWACCAGGGCGGGAATAAAGTAAGCAGAAAAGCCCCAAAGAGAGCCCATCACTGTTGGAATGGCTTGGGACATGATCATCAGAAAAGCTAACTCACATTATTTCCATAAGCCCATAATGCTTACGGCCCTGTAAATAAAAATACATTAACAACACGTTGCTTTTCAAACTAATTGAGATGCAGTGTGAAGATTACTTTTCAGAAATAGGATGTTCTTTATGCAGGAGACCATACTGGGCCCTGCTGCAACAAGAGCCATTGGGATRACTGTATTTTGTTCTAACAGCTGCATTTATTAGCAGTGAGAGACTTTCTGTGACATTACGAGGTTGCTTCAGTCTTGTAAAGCCCTTGAGAGTTAAATACTAGTGTTCCATGAGAGAAACTCTTGGGCCCAGCACAGGACCTTAAGACTGAATCAGCAGAGGAGGCTTTTAAAAAAGAGAAGCAAGGAAATAAACCACATATTCTGCTGATGATTTTTATGACCTTGCTCACACTTCTGCTGATGCTGTGTTAGCAAGAACAGTTCATTCTAGTGAGTATAATCCCAGCTCTTGCGATTATGGACACAGTTTTCTCTAAAACCTCTAAAATTGAATGCAATTTTTTAGAGTTGTGAAATTGTTAGAAAGTCACGGGCTTTTAGCCAGTGCCATGATTTYGGGAGCCTGATTTGGAGTGTGAAGGCCTCGTGATGCAGCTGGGCTGCACTCCATATGAATTCACTGATTCAACATACCTGKTTTTTTTTGTGGAAATTGGCATCAYCAATCCAAGAAACAGGAAGCATATTAATGGTTGTTAGTCTGGTTTTTAGCTAAAGCCAGAAAACACAGCTAGAAAAATTCCTCCAACTTCAAGCACCAAATTTTAAGAAATATAAGGAAAATAAAATGGTGCAGAGAAAAGAGCAATAGAATGAGAAACATGTAGTAAACAGAAGGGGGGGTTTTAGCTTTTTAGGTTAAAAAAAAAAAAAGATGACGGCTTTGGGTTTAATTAATCTAAATCAGAGAAGGCTTTCATTTTTCYCATAAAATCAGTTATAAAGTGGATAAGTAATCTGATATATTGCACCATTTTACTTGMTGCAAAGAAAGTTGAAATTGGATTTTTCTTTCAGTACTTTACTTCTGTGTTGCTCCTGTGATTCCATCACTGATGAGCACAACTACTGCCAGCTCCTTAAGCTGKATATTTTTCCTTGGGGAAACCTGATTTAAAAGTCATGTTTAAATCCAGTAGACAGAGCCTAAGGGTTTGTCTTCTCTACCTTTAGTCATTCAAAGCCAAGGTGTATAAATGCAACTGGACATGTCTGTTCCCTGCAGTGACTGAGGAGAAACAGCAACAAAGAGCTTCTTCACAGAGGGCAATTTCCAGATCACTGAACTTGGGTGAAGTAAATCCTGTCCTAACTCATCTCTGAGCATTCATTCATTACTGGGYTTTGTCTTCAGCTGGCTGATGACACACTCAGCAAGTGCATGGCTTCACTATTTTGCTGTGTTCATGGAGATGCACCTTGCTGGCATTTTTGAGGGTTTGGCACTGTGAGCACTCCTTTGTCACCAGTCCTTCCCATCCCAGTCTCTCTTCAACCTCTGACTGTTCATATCCTGTCTCATGCTCCTCTTTGTCTCCTCATCTCTTCTCCTCATTCTGAAACACCTACATTCCTCCACTTTGGCTTCCCTTTGCACTGGCTGGATTTTCTTCTTATGAATCTGTTTTATCTCTGGCTGCAGCTTTCACTAATGCATTCACTGCACGCTGCCCATCTGACAATGTTTTACTGCTTCCATGTCTTAGGGGAGTCAATGGGACAAGAAAAAAAACACAATTTAAAGTGTAACTGGCTTGTTAGCCATGCAAATTCTTGAATAATAGATATGATTTAAGTTCATCATGAGAGCTGGGAGGGTTGGAGCTGTAACCTCACTTCTGACTCTGCCAATACCTCCCTCAAGTGACCTTGTGTGATTTATTTAACCTCTTGGGGCCAGGTTCACCTGAAAATAAAGAATAATGTGCTTTTTTCCCCTAGGAACCTTAACTAATAGATATATATACAATACTTGAAGTCCTGTTTATGTAAATGCAAAATGCTTATCTTTTTTCTTGAAAACATTTACGAAAGGTTAAGAGAATTTTAGGGTTGAAAGATAAACAGTTCAGAAGAACTAGAAAAATTAAAATTACACACGTATGCACTTATCACAAACCTTTAGACAGCCTCTAATTAAGTAATCACTAGTTCTCTGCATTATAGTAGATGCTATCATAAGCTGTTAAACYGTGTAGCAGCTTGTAATACTGTGCACTCTGTTTATACAGGATAAGGACTCTCTGGAAATTATTCAGATTAATGTATCATCATCTGAACGTGGGCTTTGTGCATAGTCAGTCAGGACTGAGATGTTCCCATGCTCCATTCTACAAAAGCCTAACTGGGAACAGTTTCTTCCTGACAGGCCAAGATACTGACTTGGAGATGCCAAGTTGTGTATTCAAACCCGCAGACCTTCCATCCCCTGTGAGGCTTTAGCTAAAGACCTGTTTGTGGTGCACATCCTTGGCAGCTCCTCCCAACAGCCAGCTTTCACTGAGAGAAGCCAGGAAAGGCTCTCCAGGACATCACTTTTTCTTGAGCTTTTATGTTCAGAAAAAAAAGCTGCCTCACCAAGCTGGTGACCTCTCCTGCAGTGGCCCCTCTGCTCACTTGTTCCTTCCTTYCTTTCCCACATCTCCATGCCAGCTTCATCTTCTGACCCCCTGTTTCACCACTTCCTTGTCTTGAGGGTGCTCTAAAAACAATTTCCCCCTTTTGCCATTCCYTCTATTACTCAGTTCCAGAGCCACAGTTAATCCTGCACCCCTTGCTGTGGCCTTGTTTGACTCAGAGAACCCAAATCCTCAGCTTAGCTGAGCTTTGCTTGATGCGCAGAGGAGAAAGCCTAGAGGCTGAAAGCGTGAAATGAGTCTCCAGCAATAGYAATTTACTCCTCGTTCTAAGAGCCAAGACATCATTTTACCTCGCCTGGATCAGCTGGAGTTGAGGAGTGAGGTGATGCCTCACTGATATCCAGGGCTGCCATCGGTGTCCACTTTAAAATTACTTGGAGAAGGTTGAGTTGAGTTTGGAGAGGGCTGATGTGCTCCAGCACCATCCTCAGGATCGGATCCCCTTGCTCCTGAGGAGAGCTCAGCAGAGCCTGAGAGCCTAGAGTGTGAGGTGTGTTACCTCTATCCCAACACTGCAGTGCTACAGGCACTTGGATAATGAAATAGTAACAGATGGAAGAAGAAATTAAAAGGCGTTAGYGAGGAAATAAGCTGCTTTCATTTGAGATTTGAGCCAACACACTAAAACTGTGTGATTTGGTAMAAAAACAGTGAAGTTGAAAAGTGGTACAGGGAAAAAATTATCCTTGTATCAGTAAAGGAAGTTGTTTTAAAATAGGAACCTTGCTCTAGGGTTAGTAATGAGGTTTGCAAACTTTCACTTTTGTACTGTCATTTGTTGTCAAAACATGCCTGGTTGATTTGTTGGGCAGCGAGATTAGCCTAGCAGCTGGTCTCATCTCAGTGCACTTTTCCTGGTGGCTACTCCATCCCCATCACACACGCTCCAGCAGCCGCGCTCGCTGCCCCGGCAGAGAACCCTGAACACACCTCTGGTTATTCACACAGCGCCAGGCATATGCCAGGGGCTGTGTGATCCCTTAAACCTGTGGACACCGGCCAGCTGCCGTCACAAGTTATTACACGGGAGAACCCAAARAGCCCAGCTCCTAAAGCTCAGCTGTGCTGACAATGGGGCGAATTATCCTGGAGAAGAGGAGGCTCCGGGGTGTCGTCATGGCTCCCTAGAACTCCCTGAGGAGGCCGGTGTTACCTGGGCGTCGGGCTCTTCTCCCAGGGCACATGACGAGAGGACAGTCTTAAGGTGCATCAGGGAAGGTTCATGTTGGACATCAGGAGTAATTTCTTCACAGAAAGGGTGATTTGACATTGGAATGGGCTGCCAAGAGATGTGGAGGAGTCACCATCCCTGGAGGTGTTTAAAACTGGATGTGGCACTCAGTGTCACAGTCTGGTTGGCACGCTGGTGCTGGGCCATAGGTTGGACTCGATAATCTCAGAGGTCTTTTCCAACCGGACTGATTCCATGATAAATTCAGCTTCAGCCAAAGCTGTGCGAGGCAGCGCTGGCGGTGTGGGACACCCACGCCCGGGAACCCGGCACGGCCGCGTCCCAGCCGTGCGGGAGCGCCACCCCCTTCACACACAGCGACACCGGGGCCGCCCCGCAGCCTTCAGGTCAGGTCCCCAAGCTCCACCGGCTGCCAGCGTGGCTCGCCGGGACACACAGCCTCCAGGAGAGCTCCCCACGCTCCGCCCGTTGCCCGCCTCAGCCGCGCCGGGAGCGCCCGGAGCCCTCAGGGCGGCCCCGCCCCGCAGCCGCGCGGCCGCAACACGCGAGGGCGCTGCAGCGCGCGGACGTGCCCGCTCCCACAATGCCCGGCGGGACCCGCGCGCCGCCGCCCCGCTGCCCAGGTACGCTCGCGCCCCCCGCGCGGGG